CAGTCCAAGGGACTCACAGGAGTCTCCTCCAGCACCACAATTCAAAGGCCTAAATCCTTTTGTGCTCAGCCTTCCTTATGGTCCAGCTTTCACAGATACACATTGCAACTGGGAAAGCCATAGCCTTGACTATACGCACTTTTGTTGGGAGGGTGATGCCTCTGCTTTTTAGTATGCTATCTAGATTTGCCATAGCTTTCCTCCTCAGGAGCAAGCGTCTTTTAATTTCTTGGCTGCAGTCCCCATCTGTGGTGATCTTGGAGCCCAGGAAAATAAAATCTGTCACTACCTCCATTTCTTCCCCATCTATTTGCCAGGAAGTGAAAGGACAGGATGCCATGATCTTAGCTTTCTTAATGTTGAATTTCAAGCCAACTTTTGCGCTCTCCTCCTTCACCCACATCAAGAGGCTCTTTAGTTCCTCTTCACCTTCTGCCATTAGAGTGGTACGCGTATCATCTGAATATCTGAGGTTGTTGATATTTCTCCCAGCAGTCTTAATTCCAATTGGGGATTCATCTAGCCCTGCCTTTCTCATGATGTGCTCAGCATATAAGTTAAATAGGCAGGGCGACAGTATACAGCCTTGCCGAACTCATTTCTCAATTTTGAACCAATCAGTGGTTCCATGTCCAGTTCTCACTGTTGCTTCTTGACTCGCATATAGGTTTCTCAAGAGACAAATAAGATGGTCTAGTACTCCCATCTCTTTAAGAACTTGCCACAATTTGTTGTGATCCACACAATCAAAGCCTTTAGCATAGTCAATGAAGCAGAAGTAGATGTTTTTCTGGAGCTCCCCAGCTTCCTCCATGATCCAGTGTAAGTTGGCAATTTGATCCATAGTTCCTCTCCCTCTTCAAAATTCTGCCTGTACTTCTGGTAGTTCTCGGTCCATATACTGCTGGAGCCTATCTTGTAGGATTTTGAGCATCACTTTGCTAGCATGTGAAATGAGTGCAATGGTGCAGTAGTTTGAACATTCTTTGGCATTGCCCTTCTTTGGGATAGGAAAGTAAACTGACCTTTTCCAATCCTGTGGCCACTGTCGAGTTTTCCAAATTTACTGTCGTATTCAGTGTAGCACTTTTACTGCATCGTCTTTTAAGATTTTGAATAGATCAGCTGGAATACTGTAACCTCCACTAGCTTTGTAATTGCTCAGACTTCCTAAGGCCCATTTGACTTCACATTCCAGGATGTCTGGCTCGAGGTCAGTGACCACCCCGTCGTGGTTATCAGGGACATTAAGTTCTTTCTTGTACAGTTCTTCTTTGTAATCTTGCCACCTCTTTTTAATCTTTTCTGCCTCTGTTAGGTCCCTGCCATTTTGGTCCTTTATCATGCCCATCTTTGCATGAAATGTTCCCTTCATATCTCCAATTTTCTTGAAGAGATCACTGGCCCTCCCTATTCTATTGTTTTCTTCTATTTCTTTGCACTGTTCGTTTAAGAAGGCATTCTTATCTCTTCTAGCTATTCTCTGAAATTCTGCATTCATTTGGGAGTATCTTACTCTTTCTCCCTTGCCTTTCTCATCCCTTCTTTCCTCAGCTATTTGTAAAGTTTCCTCAGACTGCCATTTTGCTTTCTTGCATTTCTTTTTCTTTGGGATGGTTTTAGTTGCTACCTCTTGTACAATGTTGCGAACCCCTGTCCATAGTTCTTCAGGCACTCTGTCTATCAGATCTAATTCCTTATATCTATTTGTCACCTCTACTGTATATTCATCAGGGATATGATTTAGGTCGTACTTGAGTGGCCTAGTGCTTTTCCCTACTTTCTTCAATTTAAGCCTAAATTTTGCAACAAGAAGCTCATGCTCTGAGCCACAGTCAGCTCCTGGTCGCTAAAGTGACTGTATAGAGCTTCTCCATCTTTGGCTGCAGAGCACATAGTCAATCTGATTTCTGTGTTGACTGTCTGGTGATGTCCATGTGTAGCGTTGTCCCTTGGGTTGTTGGAAAAGAGTGTTTGCTATGACCATCGTATTCTATTGACAAAATTCTATCAGCCTGTCCCCTGCTTCATTTTGTACTCCAAGGCCAAACTTGCCTGTTATTCCAGTTATCTTTTGGCTTCCTGCCTTAGCATTCCAATCCCCCATTATGATAAGGACCTCATTTTTTGGTGTTAATTCTAGAAGGTGTTGTAGGCCTTCATAGAACCGATCACCTTCAGCCTCTTCAGCACCAATGGTTGGGGCATAGACTTGAACTACTGTGATGTTGGATGGTTTGCCTTGGATTTAAACTGAGATCATTCTGTCATTTTGGAGATTATACCCCAGTACTGCTTTTCCTACTCTTTTATTGACTATGAAGGCTACTCCATTTTTTCTGAGAAAGAAATTTAGAGACTTTGATTTTAGATTGTGCAGGTGGATGTCCAAGTTCAGATCTGGGAGGTGAGAACTGGCTAAATTCTCATTAAAAATTAACTGAAACTATTTCTATTGAGCACTTCTACTTCTTTTTTGAGAGAAATTATTTTTGAATATCTCATACCTGAATTTTTTGTCAACACCAGTAGAAAAAGGATTAGGTAACTTTTACAAAAGGGAGAAAGAAACATGGTATTCAAGGGCATTGGGCCCAGATGTGGTCATAATCACAATACACTCATTGAAATAAATGGAATTTAAATTAGCTGTGGTGTAACAGCTACTTTAAGTCCCAAGGATTATAATTAGTCCATTCTAACCAGAGCTATATTTGGAGCCAATCCTTTGTACTTAAATTTCAGAGACGTAACATACTATTTCTGATGTTTAATGTATTTTTTGAAACACTGCTACACATACTTACAGACTTTGAGAAATGACATAGACACATGGGGCAGTAAGA